CTTTTTCAGAAATTTCCCATTTTTCGGAAAAAAGGAAAGGGGTTACATCATGAAAATCTGCAAAAATCGGGCAAAAATGCACTTTTAAATGGAGTATGCAGTTTTATTACCCTGCTGAAAATTAGCATACTGCCGCTTTCCGAATTGAAATTAATGCGTTTTTGGCTTAGTTATGAGATTTTTAAAATTTGATTTGTCGAAAAATTTCAAATAAAAATATTGTTAATATCGGTACAAAAATGGTAATGGGCCTTCAGTCAGAAGCTTAAAAGAAAGTGAAGGAGTCATTTCCGACCCTATAAATCATATATATTCTTGATCAGCATCTACAGGGCTTTCTTTCTAGCTTTATTCGACCGAAAAAAAACTTTTTCAGAAATTTCCCATTTTTCGGAAAAAAGGAAAGGGGTTACATCATGAAAATCTGCAAAAATCGGGCAAAATTCACTTTCTAAATGGAGTATGCAGTTTTATTACCCTGTTAAAAATTAGCATACTACCGCTTTCCGAATTGAAATTAATGCGTTTTTGGCTTAGTTATGAGATTTTTAAAATTTGATTTGTCGAAAAATTTCATATAAAAATAAATATTGTTAATATCAGTACAAAAATGGTAATGGGCCTTCAGTCAGAAGCTTAAAAGAAAGTGAAGGAGTCATTTCCGACCCTATAAATCATATATATTCTTGATCAGCATCAACAGGCCAATCTTTTAAGCCATCTCCGGCCGAAAAAAAATTTCTCCGAAATTTCCCTTTTTTCGGAAAAAAAGGAAAGGGGTTACATGATTTGTCGAAAAATTTCATTTAAAAATAAATATTGTTAATATCAGTACAAAAATGGTAATGGGCCTTCAGTCAGAAGCTTAAAAGAAAGTGAAGGAGTCATTTCCGACCCTATAAATCATATATATTCTTGATCAGCATCTACAGGGCTTTCTTTCTAGCTTTATTCGACCGAAAAAAAACTTTTTCAGAAATTTCCCATTTTTCGGAAAAAAGGAAAGGGGTTACATCATGAAAATCTGCAAAAATCGGGCAAAAATGCACTTTCTAAATGGAGTATGCAGTTTTATTACCCTGTTAAAAATTAGCATACTGCCGCTTTCCGAATTGAAATTAATGCGTTTTTGGCTTAGTTATGAGATTTTTAAAATTTGATTTGTCGAAAAATTTCATATAAAAATATTGTTAATATCGGTACAAAAATGGTAATGGGCCTTCAGTCAGAAGCTTAAAAGAAAGTGAAGGAGTCATTTCCGACCCTATAAATCATATATATTCTTGATCAGCATCAACAGGCCAATCTTTAAAGCCATTTCCGGCCGAAAAAAAACTTTTTCAGAAATTTCCCATTTTTCGGAAAAAAGGAAAGGGGTTACATCATGAAAATCTGCAAAAATCGGGCAAAAATGCACTTTCTAAATGGAGTATGCAGTTTTATTACCCTGTTAAAAATTAGCATACTGCCGCTTTCCGAATTGAAATTAATGCGTTTTTGGCTTAGTTATGAGATTTTTAAAATTTGATTTGTCGAAAAATTTCATATAAAAATAAATATTGTTAATATCAGTACAAAAATGGTAATGGGCCTTCAGTCAGAAGCTTAAAAGAAAGTGAAGGAGTCATTTCCGACCCTATAAATCATATATATTCTTGATCAGCATCAACAGGCCAATCTTTAAAGCCATTTCCGGCCGAAAAAAAACTTTTTCAGAAATTTCCCATTTTTCGGAAAAAAGGAAAGGGGTTACATCATGAAAATCTGCAAAAATCGGGCAAAAATTCACTTTTTAAATGGAGTATGCAGTTTTATTACCCTGCTAAAAATTATCATACTGCCGCTTTCCGAATTGAAATTAATGCGTTTTTGGCTTAGTTATGAGATTTTTAAAATTTGATTTGTCGAAAAATTTCATATAAAAATATTGTTAATATCGGTACAAAAATGGTAATGGGCCTTCAGTCAGAAGCTTAAAAGAAAGTGAAGAAGTCATTTCCGACCCTATAAATCATATATATTCTTGATCAGCATCTACAGGGCTTTCTTTCTAGCTTTATCCAGCCGAAAATAAATTTATCCGAAATTTCCCATTTTTCGGAAAAAAAGGAAAGGGGTTACATCATGAAAATCTGCAAAAATCGGGCAAAAATTCACTTTTTAAATGGAGTATGCAGTTTTATTACCCTGCTAAAAATTATCATACTGCCGCTTTCCGAATTGAAATTAATGCGTTTTTGGCTTAGTTATGAGATTTTTAAAATTTGATTTGTCGAATATTGTTAATATCAGTACAAAAATGGTAATGGGCCTTCAGTCAGAAGCTTAAAAGAAAGTGAAGGAGTCATTTCCGACCCTATAAATCATATATATTCTTGATCAGCATCTACAGGGCTTTCTTTCTAGCTTTATCCGGCCGAAAAAAATTTTTCCGAAATTTCCCATTTAAAAAAAAATGTCTGGCCACTGGACTTAGTGGACAGTAGGGTTAATGCGGACGGACCGGCCTTTAAATCTTGTAAACAAACATCTAAAACTAATTTTTAGGTAAGAAAAAGGATGTGAAATTCCCCTCAAATGGTAAAAAAAATGTTTAAGTATTATATTTCAATATAAAAAACCGAATATAATCAATTATTCTAGAAATAACAATAAATATAGTAATATAAGGTCTTAAATATTTAATTATATAAGTCGAGTTTCATTAAGTTTTGCCAGCAGTTAGTTTTTCTTTTTTAGAATTTACAAATCGCCCAATTGCCGAAAAAAAAGGTAAACAAAGGCAGCAGCACTCCAGTGTCAAAAATGAGAACCACAAGAGTGGATCGTATTCTCTCTAAGTCCCTCTCCCGCTCTTAGGTTCCACCTACCAGATCGAGAGAGAGAGAGCAGACAAAGTCAGTTACGGTACTTCCTAACGGGCATTTCTACGGAGTATTCATGGAAGTGTTGCAAGCTTAGATATTTTTTCTGGCTACATCTAGCAATAACCACAGACGATATGAATTTAACTATTTTCCCACTAGGTTTAGCGCATTCCAATTGCCTAATTATGCATTCTTCAAATGTAATCTGGCGCAATTTTGGCGTGCCAAACACTACTTCTAATAATGAAGTTAGTGCTGTTAACTTTAACTAGCACTAGCACCAACTTTTTGTGTTCAGCTTTTTTTAGCTTATTTGTGTTCAAAGTCAAGCTAAAACGTCAATAACCTGACAGCACTGACTAAGGGATAGGTGAAATGAAAAAATTCCGCGTGCAAATGCACAGAAAAGGCGGGCTCAAAAGGAATAAGAAAATATGTTTGGCTCACTCACTCGCATTGAATTATATGCAGATGCAGCTCCCAACGGCGAATTAGAAAACGAAAACGGACGCAAAAAGACGAAATTAAGCCTTCTTATTGAAGGCATTGAAAACGCGAATACAATTACTTTGCCTGCTTGGATTTCCACTTGCACATAAACAAAAACAACAAAATTAACTAGCCAAGAAAAGCGCACTGATCTTGGCTATGTATATATGCAATTACATATATAAATACTTACATATTAACATGTAATTACATATATATGTACTTACATATATATTTACAGGCATGAAGTAATTAAAAAACACACATACGATCGCGCCCCGGACTGCCCCCGCTTTCCACACACTTTTCACTGCGGGGGCTCACTGATTTTTCGCATTTTCGACTGATTTTTCCGCGGTACTTTTCCGTTTGCTTTTACCGTTGACCGACACGTCGATCTCCTGCACGGAGACTTTTTCGTTTTCGGCTATTTTTTCCTTCCACTCCGACCGGCGTCGTGGGAGTAACTGATTTTGCACGGCCATCGGGAGAGCTCTCTCTGTCATATTGGAAGGAGGCGATGCTTCGGCTTATTGGAAAGCGGCGCCAGAGAGTGAGAGAGATCAGGTGGCCATTTCCAAAGCACTTCCTGGATCAACCTAGACTCAAACCATGGTTGCAAGATCCAATTAGTTTATCTTTATCTAATTGGGTTGCAACGCTTATTATCCAAAAACAAACAAATAAATAATAAATAGGTTCCCAATAAGTTAGTTTAAAAGAAGCTAATTTGGCTATCAACGCTATTTCTGCCTTTGCAAGAGTTTTATAATTTTAGTTAAAAGCTTGTAAGGCTGTGAAGGAATCATTTGCGACCCTATAAATCATATATATTCTTAATCAGCGTCAATAACCGAATCGATCTAGCCATCTTAGGAAAGAAATCATATTATCTCCGACCGGAAAATTTTTTTTTTTTTAGAAATTTCCCATTTTTAAAAAAGATAAGGGGTTACATCATGAAAATTTGCAAAAATCGGCCAAAAATTCACATTTTAAATGGAGTATGCAGTTTTATTAACCTGCTTAAAATTAGCATACGACCGCTTTCCGAATAGTAATTAGTGCGTTTTATTCATCATCAGTATACTCAGTTAAAAATGTTAAAGAATTCAAATGTTTGTAAATTTTTGAAAATATTTCCGATGTAACCCCTTATACAAAAATGAAAGAATCGACGAAAAATTTAATAATAATAATAATTTTAATGCCAATAAAAGCTCCTTTTAAACCAATTACTAAATAATAAAGTATGACATTCCATGGTTGAGCTATTTTGAGCCAAGTTATGAGCATTTTAGTAAAAAAAAAAGTATTTACATTTTCAGGGTAACGACATACGCGTATATGCTCATATATAACGTAATTATACACGTTTTTATAAAAATGTCCATTGAATTTTCGATTTTTCTTTAATAAATAACCCAATAATAATTATTTTTATGTTATGCTTAATAAAAATGTTGTTTAACAATGTTCAACAAATCTTTAACCCAAATGAAAAGACAATTATATTAGTTTGTTACAAAAAATTTGCTTTATTTAAGAAAAAATATGTAATCCCATGCCAATTATCAAAGAAATCCACACAAAATTTCACTATTAAGTGCTCTGGAAAATAAACATTTTTTGTTTCTTTGCGAATCGGCACAGGCGTATAACAGTTTCGTAATACTCGTTTGTTTTTAGAGCACTTTTGTGAAGATTCGTATAACGTTTCCACACATTTATCATACTTGCATATATATATTTTTTTTTTCGATTTTTCTTTTTGAATTGCGAAAAACGTTACCAGCAAGTTTTTATTTCTTTTTCTTATACTATTGTTAGTAAATGTGTTTAGTTGTTTTTTTTTTCTTATTTTTTTTTTAGTATTGTAATAGATATTCTTTTAGAACCGTGCTCAAAACGTACGCTTTCAGGGCCGTTCTTAACAATGGTTCTTCGCAATTCAAAATGATTTAATTTTTCTTTTCTTTCGTTTCGGAAAAAGTTTCAAAACTGCGCTTTGACGCTTTCTCCAAAACACGAACCATGAAAATGTTGATGAATTGATGTCGTTTATGTGGATTGTGTTTTCATAAGTGGGAATTGTGGAAATGTGTCAAAGGTGTATGAAGGTGTCTGGTGAGCAGAACAAGAGTTTGGGAAAACTCAAAATGTGTTAAATGTGGTACACATAAATGGATGGATAGACTGGGGTGAACACTTGACGACAGCTTAAAAAAAAAACATAAAAAATAAACAGGAACTCCTCCATGGCGGAACTGAAAGCAAATTTATGGATTAGTTCAAAATACAAATATTTTCTTCTCTTGTTTTGGGCGGAGCTTCATGGCTATGGCCTCTATTTTAGGGATGGACTGTACTTTAGTTTTCACAATTGTTGAAATGAAATCTCTTATTTTCATCTGCTTGCATATCAAACTCGTAGTAAGCCCTAAGTAGAACTTTCCAACTGTAGGAAACTGTTATACGCACAAGGATTTGAATATAAAATAACTTTAAGGAATACTAGGTTCCACCTTAAGCTAATCTCCAACTGAATATGAGAATGTGTATGACATTTAATGGAAACTTTAGTTCAAAAATTAGCCAAAATATTAAATTTTTATGTTTTAAAAAACAAATCTCTCTTTGAAAAGTGCTGGAAAACGCCCGGCAAGCGAAATAAAAACACTAATTGAAAACTTTGGCTCCGAGAGTCTTCAAGTTTCGTCTCAGTCTAAAACTTATCTGAAAGGACACACAGCATAGAAATATGTTAATACTCAGTGTCAAGCCATGCTTATATTATCTTTTTCTTTTTTGCACTTTCAATACCTTAAAGAAGACGCTTAGCTAATTTCCAGTCTGTGAACGGACTTTGACTTTGCCTTTTAATTATTGTTTATTTTTCACAAGTTTTATCATCAGTTTAAGCGAATATTTTGAGGTTCATAAGCAAAGAATGTGATTAATGGCAATCCAGCCAGTTGCAGGTCAAACGATTGACCAAGCAAAGAGCTTGTTTTTATGTATTCTTTTCATTCTTTTGCTCACAAAGCGAACTTTATTATTTTCAGAGCGTTTTTGAGCGTTAGAAAACGCTTTCCAAACACTTATTTTGTTTCTTTATTTCGCTCAAGTGATGATCTGTTTGTAGAACAGTTCATTGTATTTATCTTTTTTTTTACTGGTTTTATATGGTTTTATTATTTTAGTAATAAGCAAAGTCTAGACTTTCTGTGTTTCTGGGAATTAACTAAACGTCGTCCAAGGACCGAAGACAAAAACTCACCTCCTGTCGGTTAATGAATTGCTTTTTCAGCTTTAAAGCTGATCAATTGGCTGCAAGCAACATTGGGTTAGTATCAAAATCAAAATGGAAATAACTAAATCAAAGTAAATTAAATTTTTGGGCGATTCCTAGGCACTGTGTTCGGGAGATTTTGAGTAGTTTTAAGAATTGAAGAATAGGCTAATTCTTGAAGCTGGCTTTGTGTGTATATGGCTGTGAGATGAGGTATGTTATGCAGGGTCTTAGCTCGAGGTTTTGATAAGTAATCTTAAGCGCAACAGCTTGTCGCTTTTGCTGGTTAGAATTCTTGTCTAGAGACCTCTCGAGTCTATGCAGAGGCAGCTTCTTCTGGGCGTAGCTTCACGGCTAGGACTTTGGCAGGCGGCATGGCATGGCTTTTTCTAATCTATTATTATCCTAACTACCAGTCCAGTATATGCTCCTTGGGGCAAGGACAGTTTCTTGGCAGAAATCTAGCATCGAGTTCTTCTAGAGAATTAAATGCGAAGCAATATCGTAGCATTGTCAGGCCAGAAATGAGTTTTAATGGTTGAGGTGAGGTGAGGTTACGATGACACGTTCTAAGTTCATTTATAGAGCTAATGCTCCATCTTGACAGCTCGAAGCTGAGTTGTTTTATATCCGCTTGAGCAGATCCTGGCATTATTTATCGGGGAATCCCCGTTCCGGAAGCTCCTGCAACGGTTTCGACAAGGACCGATGACGTGCGAACCCGGCCGGTGTCTGTGTGTGCGCTTTGTGCATGTGGGCGTGCCAAGGGACGCCCGTTCCGTTATACGCATCGTTATGCACTGATGCTGTCTCTGTCTAATTTATGATTTTTGTATTGCGTTAGCGCTCTCACTTTGGTGCCTTGCAGTCCGCCCCTAGATGACCGTCTCGCTCTACCGCTTGCGATGCAAACGCCTGGCCGACGCGTCAGAGGTGGCTAGAGGAGAGCCGGGAGCTAGGGCTCCCCCATGTCTACAGTGTTGTCGTCTCGCTCGCATTCGCGTGACGCCACACGCGCCCGATAGAAGTATGCGTACGCGTCGTCTCGCAACGCATGTGATGCCAAGCGAACGCTCTGGATATTCGATATGTGCCTATCTCTCTCGCTCCGGTCAGAATTTTCCATCGCAAGCGTTGTCTATTACATTTTGTGGGTGGAATTGCCCACCAGGGCCGTAGGAGCTGCTGGACTGCAAGGTTTCTAGGTTGATTGGGTCGATCCCCAGGGCTCGCCGCAGCACATGTTGCACCACCACTCGCACCAACCAGGCACGTCAACGCCGCCGCGTCTCCTTCCTACCGCAGGCGGTGGAGAAGAAAGACGCCACCTTAAACGGGAGCTCCACTCGGAAGGAGATTCTTCTACTGCTTAAGGCTCTTTTCCAGTGGAATGAGGCTTCGGTTTATCACACTTGATGACTCGATGCGGTGAGAAAGATGTACGTGAAGTGACGGTTCTGGTCACGAATATTGCAGCACAAAGTAGAGTTGGGTGGCCAAGAAGCTGCCCCTGCCGGCTGGATCACATCTGGGTTTCACATTTCACAAAAAAATCACATTTTCACTAGAAAAATATGTTATAAAAAAAAATAAAAGAACACTCCTGCAGTTTTTAAGTCTTACGAAAAGGTTTTAACGCCATGCCGCCGATGCAGCGACTGATACCCGATGTTGTGGCGGAGTCAACGATGTAGCCTCGGTTTTCGTCTCCTAGGGTTTTTTCCAGGTAGACGAAGGGCACTTTAGGTAGAAGTCCATCCCATCCCCTAAGTCCTTTCCAGGGGTTCTATTTATTCTCAAGGCCTCGCTTAACGACCATAATGCAGCGGAAAAGGCAGCTGCAACGCAGGTCAGGCTGGTTTTTTCGGTAGGCTCTTTCTCTTCTTGGAGTTTTCTGCTTTGCGCTGGCAATGCCGCTGGCATGCCTCTGCCTCTAATTCTTGTATTCTTTTCATTGAATTATGCAAGCTCTCTCTCTCTGAAGTCTTTTACAAATCTAGCCCATTATCATGTTTAATTGATTTAATTAAATCACTTCTAATGCAGGTGGTTAAACTTTTCGGTGTAGTTCTTGCAACTTTTCTCTTTTCTCTGACACATCGGATTCCGATGTCGCTCGGCGTTGCCACTTGTCGCAGTGCCCGTTTTGCGCCCCCTTTGTGGCATGCCTCTGGCAGTTGACCACCTCGGTGCTGATTTTTTGGTATATTTTGAGGTTACTCTTATGACCAACTAAGACACTTAGGGGAAATCATAGTCCATAAAGAAAATGTTAAAAATAAGCGTTAAATATAATTTAAATCTAATAATTATTAATTTGTAATAAAAATTAAAGCAAACCTTTGTATTCCTCAAGTGGGTTTGGGCCTGGGGTAAGCGTGATCAAGCAGCTCTGCCATCTTTGAGTATATTTTTCCAGGCACATTTGCGGTATTTTTTACTATTATTGAGCTAGCCAAGTTGTACACCAACGCGTTGCAGTTGTGGCATGAATTCAAGCAAGTCCCATCATTGCGCCGCCAGGTGTCGCCACTGTATGGGTAAAATGTTTCCATTATTGTTAGTTTTATGTTCAATTTTCTAAAATGAAATTAAATCAAATAAAATGATTAATTAAAACGTATAAAAATTTAATATTTATTTACAAAACAATTTGTTTAAAAAACTGGCCATATACACGTTTACAAACGAACGTGTCTACAGCAAAAATGATACAAACTAAATGCGAACAGAAAATAAAATAAATACGAGAAATGCGACTAGGACTAAATCTGACAATGATAAAAACGAATTTAGGCTTCGGAAAAGTCATTATCGTAGGCGTGATTGCGATAGGCTCCATGGCCCGGTTCCTCTACCATTCCGCTCGGCTGCCACGGCTGCTTATCCGCCGTCTTTGGCGTCTGAGCATCCTTATCATGCCCCTGCTCCTCCTCCTCGGAGTCCTTCGACTCGTCCTTGTATTGATAGCTGCGGGCCAGCCACAGGAAGATTAGCATATCGATCAGCATCAGACAGGCGAAGAACGTAAACTCGCCGGCCTGCGTGCTGGTGAACTTAAACTCGGCTATGACTACCACCAGCATATTGCCAACGGCCACCGATAGCAGCCAGCAGGCCTGGAGAACGCTCTTCATGCTCGCCGGCGACTGGGAGTAGGAGAACTCCAGTCCTGTCACCGAAAACATCACCTCGGCGGCCGTCATTACCACAATTTGGGGCAATTGCCACAGTATGGACACGGCGCTGGGGGTCACCACTTCGAGCATCTTCTGTTGGTAACCATCGCGGGCACTCCCAGCTATCATCAGGGTGTAGAGTCTGCCGCCTTTTGTGTCGAAATGTGCCACCTTAAGGTCGTTTATGTTGACCTGGCCCGGCCCGGCAAAGATGCTGTGCAGCTGCGACACATTCCGGTTGTCCAGCGGCACGGTTTTGATGTCCAAGTCGGAGGTGGTGAGAAAGATGGGTCCCTCTCCCGGCGGCGTATTCAGTAGTACTCGAAGCAGCGGAGGATTGCTCTCGCTGGGAGGCATTTCTAGGCCATCGGCAAACTCCACAAGCTTATCCTGGGTCATAAAGTAGCCGAGAGACTTGCCCGGCTGCAGGCGTAGCTTACCTGTAATTACGGAGCACTTGCCCGATATGGGTTCCGCCCTGAATGAGTACTCCTTGGGCTCCGGTACGGGCAGGGCTAGATCCGTCCACATGCTCATGGGTTCGAGGGCTTTCAGGTGTTTCGATGCAATGCTGCTGTTGAACTCATAGGCACAGGGCATTCCATTGTACAGACGCAAGTGAGCGGTGCCCGGTTCCGTGGGCTGGACTTCAAAGGCCGCCTGCTGCATCTTCAGTTCGAGTCCAGCGGATAGAAAGAATCCCAGGGCGGCCAACACCAGGCCAATGGTTAGCTTCTGCAGATGCCTTCGTATCCCAATTGTACGCAGAATGGGGTAAATCACGTAGTCGAAGAGCGGCAGGAAGGCCAGGATTAGCAATGGGTTGACCACCTGCATTTGATCGGGTTTGATTTGAAAACCCATCACCATGCCATCCATGCGGGTGGCCTGGAAGGTCCATCGGGAGCCCTGCTGATCAAACAGGGCCCAGAAGACGGGGAAGGGCAGGTACAGGCGCAGAATCCGCAGCAAAGTCTTTGTGTCCCGCACCATCTTTTCACCCACCGTGGGCTTGGCGTAGTCCAGAAAGCTCTCCTCCGGCTCCGTATCTCGGCGCTTCTTCCATCCACGGAACGCATCCGCAATGCATTTGGACACGCCAAAGATCATGTTACCCGCTGGCGGCTGACAGCGATACATCCGCTTGCCGGCCATAAATATTAGCACCGAAATAATCATGAGCACTGCGGGTACACCAAAGGCCAGCGAGAAGCAATCCTTGTCCCCGAAACAGTGGACATCCGCTCGCAGTATAGGTGTCACCGTAGTGGAAATCATGGAGCCGGCATTGATGGCAAAGTAGAAAAGTGAGAAGAACTTGGCCAGCTGGAGGCTTTGGGCGGGCAGCGAGAACTGATCACCGCCAAAGGCCGAAACACATGGCTTAATTCCACCTGTGCCCATGGCAATTAGCAGCAGACCCACTATGGTTACAGCTCTGTTGGAAGAGAGATAATCTTTAGTAATCCGTTCACATCTTTAAATAGAAAGCTTAGGGTAATCAAACTCACTTGACGGGCATCCCCTCCAGGGGCACGGCGCCAAATGCCACAATCATGGCACCCAGACTGTAGACCAGCGATAGATATAATATCGTCTTGTATTTGCCCAGCCAGCCATCGGCAATGAGGGCACCAATTAGGGGGAAAATGTACACCAGCATGGTGAAGGTGTGGAAGAGCACCGTCGAGGTCTCCTCGTTGTAGCCCAGCTTGTTGGTAAGATACAGCACCAGAATGGCTAAAAGAGAGCAGGGAGAGATGATTATTAGGGGATATATGGATATGCAAACAAACCCGGCAGTACTCACTGCGCATGCCATAGTAGTTGAAGCGCTCGCAGAACTCATTGCTGATGATAAAGCCAACCGATTTGGGATATGGCAGGGTTTCGGATGCCTCCGACTAAAGTTAAAGATAACAAATGAACCGAGGTCACAACTATGAATGTAAGTTAAAATAAAACTTCAATTAAGGAAATAGTATCTCTCAGTTCTAAATCAATCCTTTTTACAACCTGCACAGACTGATCTAATTTAGTCTAGTTTGAAAACCCCTAAAACACTCCTCGATTCTCTAAAGTTTTACACACTCTATTACCCGAAGCTGCGATGTTAGGGCTGTACAACTTTCTACGCATACCTGGCTTTTGTTTAAATGTTTTTTGTTTAAACGTTTTTGTTCTGGTTAACTTTGGCGTCATAAATTGTAGGCTTTATGTGCAGCTTGTAACTCACAATAACAGTTTTAAACTTAATAGTAATACTATTAATACTACGAAAACTAATTATTTTCTTTCATTTTCCGTTGTTAATTACTAAGTAGTGATAAAATAAATAGCTTAGATAAGAATACTGGATTTTTTTAAGTGATTTAAGACAAAAAGGAAACTAATCTCGGGAGCCCGGAGTTTATATGCATACCCTGGCAGTTTGCTATTAAATAACTTAAATATATATTAATAACTTAAAATATTTACAAGCAAAGAATTAATTTTTTTACAAATAAAATTTTTAAAAATCTCATAACTATGCCAAAAACGCATAAATTTCAATTCGGAAAGCGGCCGTATGTTAATTTTTAGCAGGTTAACAAAACTGCATACTCCATTTAAAATATGAATTTTTGGCCGATTTTTGCAAATTTTCATGATGTAACCCCTTTCCTTTTTTTAAAAAAATGGGAAATTTCGGAATAATTTTTTTTCGACCGGATAAAGCTAGAAAGAAAGCCCTGTAGATGCTGATCAAGAATATATATGATTTATAGGGTCGGAAATGACTCCTTCACTTTCTTTTAAGCTTCTGACTGAAGGCCCATTACCATTTTTGTACCGATATTAACAATATTTTTATTTGAAATTTTTCGACAAATCAATTTTAAAAATCTCATAACTAAGCCAAAAACGCATTAATTTCAATTCGGGAAGCAGTCCCATGCGAGTTTTTTTTAGGCTAATAAATCTGCATTCTTCATTAGAAATGTAAAAAAATTGAAATTTTTGACAATTTTAACGATGTAACCCCTTCTAAAATTTGGAAAAAATTGGGAAAAATGAATTATTTTCCTTCATGCCTAGAAAGATTGGGCTGATAATGCTGATCAAGAATATATATGATTTAAAGGGTCAGAAATGAGTTCTTCATAGATTTACAAGCTTTTAACTGAAATTGTAATACCCAGTAAAGGTCAAAATTAATAATTGGAATTTTAAGGAACGGATTGTTTTGCTGGCATGAAAACTATCTTAAAGGAATATTAAATGATTACAAATATAATACTTAATATTTCTCTAAACTTCCTAATACATAAATTCCATGTGATTTGTAACTTCAGGGATATATTCAGGTACATTTTAGTCTACCGATGAGATCCCTCAAGGAAGGACCTTTTGTTTGTGGTTTCTTTACATCTCCGATTCAGGTAAGGGTACTTTAAGGTTCGGTTTGGACTAGGGGGAGGGTTACTTTAATCTTTTCTATGGTTATTCTCATGGTAATTGCGGCTCCGTTTCGTCTCGTTTCTCGTATTCGTTGCGGCTTTCGATTTTGTTGTGTTTCGCTGCGTTTTGTTTGGTTTTTTTTTGCTTGTCTCTAGTCTGTAGACTCTATTGGCTTTTTGTTTTGATTTGCCGCGTCTCTTGGCCAAGGTGAGCAACGGAATGCAAACAGGTTTCGTCTAGTCGCCGTTGTCGTAGTCCAGCAGGTGATCCATTGATGATTGAGAATTCTGCGCACGGCATCGCAGCCCCTCCGATCTATGGAGCTATATACTCACCGTTGCTGATTTGCAATTCTCCGGGCCAACTGCCATAATTGCAGCGGTTTTGCGTAACACTCGCTCTGGATCCCTATTTGGATTTGGTCAGACTTCAGTCCCCAGACTCTCAAAGATCGAACAGAACGGAGATAATTATTGGGTTTTTTTTTATGGTCCGGCAGAGACAGCGTTCAGCATCGAACTAAGAAGTCTCCGTCGTGGGGCCCAAGCTTTAAAGTTCGATTTCTCGCCCTCTCTTCGCATTTCGCCCCTTTCTCTTGGCCCCGCGAAAACAGTTGTTAAATGAATTAACAAACAATAAAGCGGAGAATCGGAATGGACATCTGGGAGATGAGCGTTGGGAGCGGGAGAAACTACAGCTGATTACCGCCATGTGAACAGCTGATGATGATGATGATGATGATATGATCAGATCAGGTCTCAGATTTATCTATCGAGAAGGGGTAGTTCCGTGAGAGTGAGTGAGTAGGGTGGATTCTCACCCACAAAAAGCTCAGGGTAAATGCATTCGCGTGGCTCAGCCCGAAAAGTGGGTCAGGCATCACCAATACCCTTTCTTAGAACCCAAAGGTTCCATGGGCATATTGAAAGTTAAGAATATAACAACATTTAATACATTTAATAATTATGCGTAAAAATATTAGGGAAAAATAGATCAAATGAGATCAAATTTACACAAATATCGTGCTCAATATCATATTGAGAATATTGTAATCTTCACTTAATCGAATAATATAAATAATTCAAATAACGAATTGATTAAGAATATTCTAAGGATGTGATTTAATTTATATATTCAAGAATTATATTATTATGATCTTCGTTTAGTACCGAAGATTGATTTAATGCAACGTTAAAATCTTAATTTATTAATTTCCCGTATAATTTGACGTTAAATATTGATAAGTATCTATATTAGTATATATATATATTAGCATTTATATATTATATATTTTATTTATAATATATACATATTAGCTCAATTTTTTGTTTAACTTATTGCATACTTTTTAACAACGCGCTGTTAAATACTAATAAAGCTAGTAATAAATTCACTCTTGTAATCAAAATATATATACGTATTGCATGTGTCCGATTGTGATAGAATTTGGAACGTGGCTAGAAAGGTGGTAAGAGACACGTTTTGAAGCGGCCCCAAAAAATAAACTATCTTTAAAGCCTATAGCTGTTACAAAGCTTTTGCAATATTTAGGTGCATTTTTGGAAGATACATTCGCTTTCCATTTAGCTAAGATTCCCCATTCCATTCTTGTTCTGATTTTAACCAACACTTGCCAATTGATTAATTCAATCAATTTGCGGGCAATAAAAGGATAGCGATATCGATACGATTGACACACATTTCGCGGACGTTCAAGGTCGACAGCGCTGCGACGTCGCCGTGGCTGCGATCAGTAGCCTTGAGGCGGCAGCAGCAGCAGAGACATAAGCAGAAGCAGAAGCAGAAGCAGAAGCAGAAGCAAAAGCAGCGGCAGCAAATTCATTGGAACTTTGTGAGTTTCGCAGCTGCTTCTTCTGCTCATTACACGACAATTACACACGTACGTGTGTGTGTGTGCTTTTGTGTGCACTGTACTTTCTGTATTGACCGAGGAAAGTAAAGTGATAATAAACAGTGCACTCTCTCTTCTCCATCTCTCCGCCTCCCACCGCCTTCTTCTTTTTCCTACACTGCCTTTGCCCTTCTTGTGTGTGTGTGTGTGTGTGTGCATTCCGTTTACCGTTCGCAACGACTCACGCTTTTTGCCACTTACCAAATTCTTTGAATTCGCCTCCAATTCTTTTTCCACTTGCTCCTGCGCTTTGGTATTGCCATCGCTTTTACCGTTACTAATTGCAGCCATTTTTGCAGCGACAGAAAAACAGTTTTACAAAAAAAAAAAGACCACAACGAACGGATAACAAACGTAAAACACAAAAGGTTTTTGATTTTTCGCAAAACTTCCAAAACAGGTGTAATTAAAATGCGCACGGGGAGCGGGGTGGTGGCGGGGGGCTGAGGGCGTTGTAGGTTGATGAGGATGATGCTACGTTGACATAAACGCCATAAAACGAATACCGCCGCTGCCCGACGCCAAATGATGCTCTGCCGCTGCAAGCTGCGCTTTTAAAGCTGCGAGCTGCGGTGACGGCAGAGGCTGAGCTTCCCCCCCCCCCATCACCCAAATAAAGAAGAAAAAAAAAGCCCCCTCAAATCGAGCAAGAACAAAAATCAAATTAAATTTTTAGATAAACAGCAGCCGCTGGAGATGGGGGGAGCGTGTGGTGCAAGTGGAGAGAGCGAGAGAGAGGTTAGGAGAAGAGAGCAATATGCTCGCTTAAACTTTGCCTTAAGCCGAGCTTCACTCTCGCTTTAAACTGGCGCTCTCTACACTGCAAGAAATAGGGGGGGGGGGGTTATGATAAGATTTTTGGTTTAGTTCTAATAGATTTTAGATTAAATATAAATTTTTAAATTTGAAATATTTAAATTTTGAATATTTAAATTTTGAAATATTTAAATTTGTAAATTTTTAAATTTAAATTTAGTATGCAGATGTTTAAACCTAATTAATACTAACATGGGAATGCTTTGCGAATTAAAATCAATGGCTTTTAGGCTTAGTTATGAGTTTTTTGAACATAGGGTTTTCAAAAAAATTATCATATAAAAATTAGGGTAAATATTGATTCAAAATTCGAATAATTTAAGCTTAATTATGATCGATTTTCGATACTATCATATAATTCAATGGGAAACTGCAAGGGTATACAAGCTTGGGCTTCCAGAAGTTTGTTTTGCTTTGTTTTAAATCTCAACAATATAATAATATATCATTTTTTGCCAGTGTAGCTTCTCTTCGCATTTCTCTTTGTAAGATCAGAATTGCAGCTCAACCTGCATCGTCCCCCCTCCCCCCTACCACCCCCTTTTGTGGAAAGCTCACCCACAGTCAAGTTCAATGCTGTTCCAATGGAAACAACAATGGCTAGGTCGTGTGTCTGTCTCTGTTTAGCTTGGAAATGACTGGATAAGCCACCGATTAGCATTATCGCTCTCGGAGTTCCCGTAATTGGCTGGAAGTCCAATAGAAACAGCTGTTTGCTTATCACATTTTTCACACAGGAAGATTGACTAAACATGTGCATTTTTGCAGAAAGTTTGAGCAAAAGGTTTATCCATACGTAACTATTAGCTCATATTATTTTATGAAGACGGTTTCCAACATTGATTAAGATAACTTTAACCTTATCTCTCGGTATAAATTTCCAAGAAAGGTGTTCTTCCCAACTTAAGTGGTGTTTGTTTAAGCGGTTTGTTGTGCAAGATAACCTAGTTCCTGATTATGGTTTCTTTCCGTAATACACTTACTAGATCAAAATTTAACCATAACCATTAATAATCGATTTCATTTCTTATCTACTTTATCTTCAAATATAATCTCGTAGAGTTTCGCTTTCGCAGAATTAGTAAATAAAATCGTAGATCTGGCATCTATCTTATCTCTATTTCGATCCTAACTGATATCTGCTGATCGCTTAAGTGCCAAGTGTGTGCTGTTATCTGTGTTTGTTTTCTTTACGGCTTTTCGAGTAATTTGTGGGACTTTCCCAGGCAATCGTAAATCTATCCTGTTGTAAAGATTTATGATCCCGTATTAGGCTATAGTTTCGCATGGAGATTACTGAGGTTTTCCACTTTAATAGGAATAGAGGAGGGGGAATGACGAAGCGTCACATTGTGTGGTTTTTTTTTGGGACATAAAATCGAAGGAATTGTGTAATGTGACTCACTTACCTGTTTCAAATCATCGCTATCGTCCGTCAAGAAGCTTACTGATTCACTGTATCGAATATTATGGTATTTAATCTTTGTCCTTGCAGAACTTGTTAACTTTCCTACGGGTAAAAGAGGTAAAATGTTCGTTTTAAAATCTGGAAAGATGCATTATTTGTACTCACTCTGGTCAATACCCGAGATAAAAGAATGATATGACTTTGGGGAAAAGCTACGATTTTTCTTTTGAAACATATTTGAGACAACTGAGACAAAGTCAATGAGCACAACATGAAGTTTTTGTAGTATAAATTTGAATTACTGGACTGCCTACTTAGTTTCCCCAACTATAAGTCTTAATTTATCGAATGAGAACATTCTGTGGAATGTTGTTTTACCTAAAAAGAACTAAATGGAACACGTTAAAATGCATTTCCCCATTACTCGATGTGTGCAAATCCAATCAATTGGACAAATAGCCAGTCCATCAGTTATCACAATCGATATCTTTGGGCCACACACGAGCGCCGTGTTATCACATCAACCACTTGAGACATTTGATTACGGATGCAATCGATATTGGTAAGTATCTGTATCTACAACGATGACAAAGTATTTGCGTTTCGTATCCGAGATCTATGGACAACCTTGCCCAGCGATTAATATTTATTGGCCGGTTTACTTAATCGGAACAAAGACCGATTAAGCAAGCTCATGTCGGATTGACTTCGATCTAACCTAATCTTATCTTATCACCTGATCACCTGACCATCAGCAAGAGGTCCATGAGATAGGTTTTGCTTTACTATGACACAATAACTAGGGGATGTACTTATATTTATGTATACTTTAATTGTTCATAACTTAACCAAAAAAAAGTATTAAATTCAATTCGGAATTCCTACCATTTCTTAATCGATATTAACTATATTTTTAAATGAATTTTTTCGACAAATTAAAGTCCAAAAAACTCATAACTAAGCCAAAAATGCATTAATTTTTAGTTTTTGTTACGTTAATAAATCTGCATACTCAGTTAAAAATGTTAAAAATTCACATTTTTGTCCAATTCCAATTCCGAATTAAAAAAATATTGAAAAAAAATCGAAAAATATTGTTTTAACCGAACATAGCGAGATCGATTCGGCTGCTCATGCTGATCAAGAATATATATAGTTTATAGGGTCGGAAACCACTCCTTCACTGACTAAAATTATAATACTCTCTTCAGGGGTATAAAAATATAGCACACATTATTATTGATGTATCGAATATTTAAGTTCCGAAAAGTATAGCATTTAGTTTAAAGATACCTATATTATTAAAGAAGTATAAAACAAATTTAAGCTTATTTATTCAGTTCGATATATCAGGAAGAATATAGAATTATTATATATGACATATATCGTTAAATATTGAACAGATTTTGCAATATAGTATTGATATATGAATATCCTCTAAGTAGAACTTCTTGCTCAGGTCATGAATACTTAAAATTCCTTTACTATTCATGGTTCTTAATTCTGCCCTGTCATTTGCTCTTTGATCGAGGCATTTCCTGATCAAGATCTGTGGACGGGTTCTGTATACCATTATATAGACTATAGCCTGGGAATTGCATTCCTCGGGCCGGTTGATAGCCATATCTTTATGTGTGTCGACACGCAATCCGATCGACTTGGCACACAGACGTTGTCTTGATGGCTTTAATTAAGTGTTACTCAATCTATCGATCGCATAGCTTGCACTTTGAAGACTATAGACACCATGCAATCTTGAGCCAAATGACAATCGTAAAATCGAAAGCAAGAAGCAAAACAAAAAAGGTTCACTTATCGCTAAGCTATACATACTAATAACAACACCAACAATAACACCAACAATAACACCAACAATAACAATAACAATAAGTCGGTCTATCGGCAATGGCCAATAGATGTTTATACTTGTTTCTGGGCATGGCTAATAATGATAGCCGGCCATAAATACTATTCGCAGTTATCGCTCTGGCCCGGCACAGCGATTAAGTTCATAAAACAAAAACCGACACGAGTTTTTGCCTACAAGTTCGATTAGATGTCAATCGGTTAAGAGTGTGGGATGTTAGGGGGTTAAACAGTTCGAAATCAAACTGAAAGTACGGGGGTTAAGCGGAAAATCCCTTTTGTTTCAAACTTCAATGTAATTAAATCAAACTTTATACCCTTAGATAATAAATTATGTCAAATCATTTTACAATCTCAATGGTAGTTCATAGTTATAAATTCAAATAAAACAATCAAATGAAGCCTGGTCTTTCCCAAATTGTGCTAATTATTATCATCAAGTGACACCAAATATTGCCAATCATTTTGGGTTTTAAATTGATTTATTTACGGAGTGAAAAGTAAGAAACAAGAAGGTTTATGCAGCAACTAATTTTGCAATAAAGCCTAGATATGAATAATTCCTTAAATAAGCGCAAACGTTACGAACTTCTAAGTTCTATAATATAAATAAATTAACTGGTTTATAAAAAAACTCTTTCGATTTCTGAAATGATTCAGCTTTTGGGCTTGCAAATTTTAGAATGCGTTATTAAATGTACCTTTAACGTGCATGCATGAACCCCTTAGTTATCTTGTTCCTTATCACTAGGCCATATACTATTGAATAGACTTTTCGATTCATGACTGGGGCCTGGTGTAGTGAAACAGTGTCTGGGCCCTCTCATCATTTAGATCTGCCAGTAATGGCCAAGGAAGATAACTAGTAAGAGCGTCAAAAATATTTAGTTAATGACTAGGCATTCTTTCAACGCCCATCTGGTTAATAACAGACGGGGCGTGGCACTAGCGATAAGCAGGCCGCTTAAGCAGTTGGGAAAGCAATTGTGATGGACGATGATCTGGCATTGACAGGTGTACACTTAGCGGAAAATTTAAATTATTAGATATATAGAGTGGAAAAATTTCATTTTAGGAATTTAAGTAATTAAATAAGTACACATTATTAATACATTAAATATTATTATATATAGTATTAATAAAACTTGAATAAAATATAGTTTATTAATTTATTAATATCAAAAATATCTTTTGGATCTGCTCCCAAAAATAAATGAACTTCTTTCTTGCAGGGTATTATTCTTCCAGTCAGAAGCTTGCAATGAGGTGAAGCAGTCATTTCCGACCCTATAAATCATATATATTCTTGATCAGCATAAACAGGGGAATCTTTTCAGCTATCTCCGGGCAAAAAAATTTTTTTTTTAATTTTCCCATTTTTTTTTTTTTTAAGGAAAGGGGTTATATCATTAAAATTTTCAGAAATCTGC